ACGCGTGAGGTATATAGACATTGGAATCTTGTGCCCTTTGCATTGGAGGCTACAGTTAAAAGGCTGAAGGCATGGCAGGCGATTGCGAGAGCGCCTCGGAACCACGCCCACTTGCTGGCCATCTTTTATGGCGAGATGCAGTGGGAGGCCACCAGCGCCTACCGCTGCCCACCTACGCTGCTTGAGGACGGCCGCTTCGACGACACGACGCTGATCCACCCTTGGGCGCGTCAGCTCCGACAGGACTTGGAGGTGATGTGCAGCACGCCTGAAGCGGAGTCATTCGCCGAGGTGTGGGGGTTCGGCTCCATGCTGGACCTGCTGTGGGACGAGGAGGTAAACTACCTCTTCATCTCGTTCGATCCGCGGTGCCTGCGCAGCGCCTTTGCTGCTGCGCGGTGGGCACCGCCACCTTGCCTGGCAGACACTGTGCCGGCCGCCCAGGACGATCAGCAGACTTGGGAAAAAGGAGAAGCGGACGTCTTTGTTGCACGATCAGAGCCAAACCAGATGACCCGATTTGTGGACAGAGTTTTCGCACGCGTGCAGCGCTTGTAGCACATGTATGTCAGTCTCGACAACCAGGGCATGGGGGACAGAGCTTATTCAATATCCTAACGCCTAGCAATGCATGCATCAACTGCAACACGGTCTTTCAGAGCAGGGGGGAGGCGGTGAGGCACTTGGCGCGGTCATGGCACGCTGGGAGGCGCATCGAACACAATGCGGCGTACCCGTACACGCGCCACCCGCCTACTACGCACGCGTGCGCGCTGTGCCAGTCCTCGTTCATGACCTACGAGAACCTCCGTAGCCACTTGCGTTCACACCTGCCGCCGACGCAGGAGGGCAGATCCATCTCAGTCGTCACGCCGAGACCTGTACCGCCCAGACCAAGGCCGAGGGCGAAGAGGCCCGCGGCGCCTGCCTCAGGACCACGTTTGAGAGGCAGTGAGATTCGCACAGTCGAGCGCTTGTTTGTCAGCAGCAACACCCTTCTACCCCATGGAGGTGGAGAAGTCAGGGAGGTGGCGCCCACGCAAGGGGGGCTCCTTGGCCCTGTCGCCGACTGGTGGGCAGGCGTCCAACGGCGGAGACGAGAGTCAGCAACGCAAGGGAGCTCGAACCGAGGGAGGAGCACGACTCCAACGTGGCGGCGGAGGCAACGAGGGCTCGGGGACCAAGCCGAAGATCCGACGCGGCGGTCGGAGGCGAGCCGAGCAGAAGGACCGCAAGCTGAACACCAAGGACGCTGGTCTTCGAGAGATTCTACTACTGTTGAGCATGCAAGTGGCTCAGCTCACCCAGAAATCGCGGGCACTATGGGGGATCGCTACCAGGGCCATCTTGATCGAAGAAAAGAGCAGCGTGGTGAAGGCCATCCAGCAGGAGTCGAAGGACTTCTCGGACCACGCGGCGAACCTTCGCACGCAGATAGGCAAGTATAAAGAGGACGCCAAGAAGGCGAGCGGCTCCGACGCGGGGGCCGAGAGGGAGGCGGCGACGAAGGCCGAGGAGATCCAGAAGGAGCTGCGCACGCTGGGGCCCCCTGCCCCAGCTCTCTTCGCGGCGCTCGTCGAGAGCCTGGCGACCGAGGAGGTGGGGGCGGTCAACCGCAGGGCGCTGGAGGCGATGAAGCAGGAGTTCGTCGAGGCCCCGCCCATGGACGTCCGCCGGTGCAGGCTGGAGAGCTGCAAGGACGAGGACATGATCAAGATCGTGCTGGCTCTCGACGACAAGGCCAAGGAGGGGGTGATTACAGCCTCGCTGCACGCGATGGGAGCCCAGGTGACGAGCGGCGTGGCCCCCTCGGGCTACATGGAGGACGAGATCAGCGCCTGGATCGACGCGCTGAAGGCGGCTTGAGCCCTGCCCGTGAGCTCCTCGGCAGCTTCGCCGCCCTGCGCCCAGGAGTTGATGGGGTCGCGTCGCTGTCGTCCGAGTCGGGGGAGGAGGAGGGATGCATGTAGAGCCTAGTCCCCCCCTACTGCCCCCGCGGCATCGCAGTACTCGCGGTGTTCTGACGGGACTATCGCGGGGGCAGTGGGGGGGGCGAGGACGGCCTGCGCTTCCTCTTTAGACGCCGACGCGGAGTCGGCGACTCTCCGAAGCCACTGGCCGTCTCGGTGGGTGAGTTTCTCTGGACCGATGTGCACGCGCTGCCTCGGAGCCATCGAGCTTCGGGATGCGCAGCCGTGCGCGCCTGGCATAGTAGCAGCACCAACACGGTGCGGACGGCGGACATGTGAATTCTTCTAGCAGTTTTACCCTGTGACGGGTTGCTCAGCTCGCGTGCGGCGTGTGGCCAGTCACCATGTGCACGAGTGCTGTTGCGCATACGTGTTAGATGTTTCTAGCGAGCATTGGAGTATTGTGTGATCTTGTCCAGCAGCCGCGTGCAAGCAAGCTCCTCCTCCTCCTCCTCCTCCTCCTTTTGCTCCTCCTCCTCCTCCTCCTCCTCCTCCTCTCTCCTCTCTCCTCCTCCTCCTCCTCCTCTCCTCCTCTTCCTCCTCCTCCTTCCTCTCCTTTTCCTCCTCGTCCTCCCTCGTCCCTCGTCCTCGTCGTCCTCCTTCCCCCCCCTCCCCCTCCTCCTCCCCCCCCCCCCCTCCTCCTCTTTCTTCCTCCCTCTTCCTCCCTCCGCCCCCCCCTCTTCTCCCCCCCCTCCTCGTTCTCCCGTCCCTCGTTCCTCCCTCCTCCTCTTCCCCCCTTCGCTGTTCGTTCCCCTTGTCTCCTCCCTCCCCCTGCCCCCCTCCTCATTCCCCCCATCCTCCTTCCCCTTCCGCCCCCCTCGTCGCCCCCGTACGATGCTTCCTCGCCGTTTACTCGCGACAGGGGCCTTCGTTCCGGCGTCGCCTCCGGGGGGGGGGTCCCAAGAGTCCCTGTTGAACCTTAACTATTAAACAACTATCGTCCGTGGAGAGCGTAGATCACGCGGAAGAGGGGGGGAAGAAGGAGGACGGATGAGTTCAAGGGGCTGCAAGGATCGAGGGTCGGAGGATTGTCTTCAGGGATTCATTGGGAGGGCGTGGAAGGCGCAGGTGGAGGATGCGAGAATGGGGGTGGCAGCGCCTGGGGCGTGGAAGTTCAGGGCCACGCGCCGAGGCCGCATGATGGTGGCGTAGCAGTTCGAACAATGAGAAATAACCACGTCGTCCTCGGAGGTACAGCTGCCGCAAATATTCCTCTTTCCTCCCCCTCCTCCTCCTCCTCCCTCCGCCTCCTCCTCCTTCTCTCCCTCATCTTCCCTCCCCTCCTCGTCCTCTTCCTCCTCCTCCGAGATGCGGGGCATGCGCAGCGCGATTTCGAAGGCGATGTGCCGTCGGAGCTGTGGGTGTCGAAGTTCCTGGGAAGAGGTGGTAGCAATGCTTTCTTGGGCGGAGATCTGGGTGAGGGCATAGCGGGCCCCGCATGCCAAAAACATCCCCGATGATGGGGTGTGGTATCCAGGCGGATGCATGTGACATGTGGAAACATGGCGCATGATGATAAAACGATTGAGCTCTCATTTCTGAAGAATAAATATTGTTGATCCCCCATCACCGGTGCATGCGGTTTTTTCTCAATCGAAGTGTGCCCCTCGACGCTCGCACCCTGTTTCTTGACAGGGAAAATCTTCGTGCTCTAACTAAGCCCCTGGCCCCCCTGATTGCAACAACAACGGCTCCCGCCTGAGACTTCCTCCAAAATTACTCAGGACCCCCGTTCCTGAGACTTCCCAGCAATTTACTCAAGATCGGTGCTCCCGCCTGTGACCGCCTCGCAATTTAGTCAGGCCCCCCGCTCCCATCGGAACCTTCCTCACATTTTACTAAGGAGCGGCGCTCCCGCCTGAAACTTCCTCGCAATGGGGTCAAGAGTTCATCGCGATTTGATCCAGACCCCCGCTCCCGCCAGGGAGCCCCTCAAATTTCATTGAAGAATTGCGCTCTCGCCTGTGACTTCCACGCAATTGATTCAAACATCGCGCATTCGACGCTCAGGGAACACGCTGCGCCAAAGTCGCCGCTACAATTTACTTAGTATTCGCGATCTCGCCATCCGCAAGCATCCCGCTTAAATGTCCCACCCGCCCGACCCGCCCGTCAGGGGATCGCCCGCCCGTCGTGGGCTCCCGCCCTAGACTTCCTTCAGGAGCGTCGCGTTTGCCAAGGCTTTCCTCGAACGTTCACGCTCTTACCTTCCTGCTCCTCATCCCTCTCCCTCCTCCCTCCTCCCTCCTCTCCTCCCTTCTCTCTCCGTTCTCTCTCCCCTCATCCTTACGCCTCTCTGCCCAATCCCCTCTCCCTCCTCTCCCTCGTCCTTCTCCCTCCCCTATCCTGCCTCCTCCCTCCCTCGTTTTTGTGTATGTTTGCGTTTTGTTGTTGTTGTTCGTTTGTTCTCTCTCTCTCTCTCCCCTCTCTCTCCCTGCCTCTCGTATCTGTCTTTCTTTCTCTCTCTCTCTCTCTCTCATTCTGCCTCTCATCAGCCGCCCCCCTCTTCGCTCCTTCTCTCCTGGCGTTTTCCCTCTTCCTTCGTCCCTCCCCCTCCCTTCCTCCCACTCTCCCTCGTTCTCCCCCTCCTCTTTTTGCAGGGCCCACACCAATTCCAATGGCGGGCACACGTACGCCCACGAAGGATTGTCCGCCCGTTCAGGTTTGCCCGCCAGTCTAAGCCCGCCGCCCCCCGCAAAGAGAAATAATCCCCCGAAAAGGGGTGTGATCGAAAACAGGAAGGGCGGGTATCGAGGGTGTGCGGAAATCGTTTTGAATGACACGCGGGCAAGTAAGCGCGACCAATCTTAAACTTATTGTTGATGTGATGTTGGTGTTGTTGTTGCTGTTGTTTTGTTCACGACAAGGCTCCCCAGAAAGCTGGACCCCTTTTTCCAATGCTGTTTGTTTATTCCGGAAATATATTGGCGGCCCCTCCCAACATGAAGTGTCGCGACGCGAGGACGTCGAGTCAAGGTCCTCCCCTCCTCCTCCTCCTCTTCCTCCTCCTCCGCCTCCTCGCCCTCGGGCCTAGCGGTGTCCCCGCGTGTGTCAGCTGGTCGATGCGCTGGCCCAACCGCTGGTCTGTGAGCCACAACTGCTCGTCCAGCGCCGCAACCTCGGCGTCTAGTGGTCACACGGTCCCCTCGATCATCGGGGTCAGGGGAGGTAGGTGGGCACACCATTACTGTCGTGCGGCCCAAAAGAGGAGGAGGGGGAGGAGGAGGAGGAGGAGGATGACGACGAGGAGGAGGAGGGGGAGGAGGGTGAGGAGGAGGAGGAGGAGGAGGAGGGGGAGGAGGAGGCGCAGAAGGACGGAGGAGCGAGTGGGGGCTAGGCGCGCGCGCTGAGGCCACGGCAGCGGCAGCCTCGTTCCTCGGGGCGCTGCGAAGCAGAGCGGGCCACCTCCTCTCCCTCCGTTGCCCCCCCCTCCCTCCCCTTCTCACCCTCCCGTTCCCCCTCCTCCCCTTCTCCCCCCGCCCTCCCCCTCTCTCCCCCCTTCTCTCCCTCCCACCCCCTCCCCCTCTCTCAGGGCGCTTCTGCCGGCCAGCCACAGCTGGGGGAGCTGTGTTCCTTGTCCCCCTGGGTGGAAACCAGTCGTATCGACGATCTCTCTCGAGAGGGGCCCCGCGGGGGTAAAGGCCAAAATTACGATCAGCCCGCATGAGAAGGACGCACGATAAGCATGCACAGGCCTTTGGAAGGCCATGTCGGCACTTTGCGGGCGGGGCGCGGACAGCGAAAGCGGCCAAGGATGGGCCGAAGGGGAAGGATGCAAAAGTAACCTTGGAGAATTGCTCATTTGTACTATGTGGGTTGACTGTAAGCTCGGCTGCTCCGTGAAACCCCAACCTGTGTGGACGGTGCCGGTTCTTCGGGGATCCGCGCATCTGCGAAGACGTGCAGCATAGACGGCGGCGGGATCCTCCTTGATGGGGTGTAACGCAACACTGCACTGACGGAGGAGGAGGAGGCGACCTGTAAGACACCCCAGCAGTCTCGGACACCACAGCCGCCAGCAACATGATCGTCATTATCGCATACGAGCAGGACGCCATCAGCGATATCCTCGAAGCTATCATGGAGACCACCTGCAGAAAGGGCAAAGGCATTCTGGTCCACACACTCTGTTACGGCGATAAGGCCCGCCAGGAGTCCGACCAGATAGTTAGCTCGATACAGACCAAACAAGTCTCGACGGTGATCATTGACCTCGACATCAATAACGATGACATCCCAGCGGGTCAGCGAGGACAACAAGCACCATGGGGAGCACGGAATACAAGACCGAAAGCCAAACCAACTGTAATGGCGATCAACGAGTTCTTCAGGTCTGCGATCCACATCGAATAATTGTGCATGGCCCACGGCATCCAGTGCTACACGCGCGAGAACGGCAACGACCTAAAGATGAGGGAGCACATTGACATTCGCGCAGACTACAAGACACGGATCACGCCGAGCACAACATGGACTCCTGCAGGAACGACCGAACAGCTGGCCACGACAATGGACGACGTAATATCGATAACCATCTCCGACAGCAGCATGAGCTTCGCCGCGGCACAACCATGGTACTACGACGACAGTGGAGCAACAGTATGGATTGGACCATGGTACGAATACGACGACGTACAAGACACGGATCAATCCAACAGCGTCTGTGAGGGAATGAGCCCCGACGCTCTCGCCACAACGCCTGAGGTATGGGAAGCCTCAGGCATACGTCGCCAAGTTTTGCCGCCTGTGGAGGGTAGCGTCTGTGAGGGAATGAGCCCCGACGCTCCCGCCACAACGCCTGAGGCGTGGGAAGCCTCAAGCATGCGTCGCCAAGTTTTGCCGCCTGTGGAGGGTAGCGTCCGTGAGGGAGAGGTCCCCGACGACCCATCCACCCCGCTCGAGGTATGCACTGCTCAGGAGCCGAGACTCCCAGAGGGTACCAGCCTCGAGCGGGCGTCGCCACGCTCTGCCAAAGGAACCAGACAGCACAGGACACAGCAGGGCGGCAACTATGGCCACTTCCAGAACCACCACGACACCGACATCGACCACCGCCACGACCATGGCCTCCTCGATGGCAACCACAACGCGACAGCGGGGAAGAACAACCCAGAGGAGGAGGAGGAGGAGGAGGAGGAGGAGGAGGAGGAGGAGGACCTCGACGGCTCGTCACCACGACGCATCGCGCCGAAGGGCGGTGACAGCTCCCCTGACCCCCGCAGCGCCGCTGGCGCCGGAGGGCGGGGGACAGGGTCGGTCCAAAAAGATAGACAACAACCACCAAAAGCGGAGCCGCAGGCCACCCTGGCCTGTGCCCGTATCCACACGAGGGGCTCACGAGGGAGCCCCACGGCAACAACAAGCAGACGCCCACCAACGCCACCAGCCCCATGCAGAACAAGGTCGAGGACACCCCCTCGGTGGTGAGCGTGCCGGCCCCTCAGGATACCCTAGGGGGTGCAGGCGGCCGCGAGGGAGGCGAGGTCGACCACTACAACTTGCACCTGGCCCCGCGGGGGCCGCGCACAGGGGACCGAGCCATCCCAAGACCCAAAGCGCCTCCTCCTTGGCCCAGGAGGCCCTGCTCCTCGTTCCTTCCTTGGTATCTCTTGGGGGCTCGGTCGCCTCGTCTTAGAGTGTGTGCCCCCCCCGTTTCCTTCCTCGCTTATGCCTCACGGCTGCCGCCTTGGCTCTCTCCTGCCTGGGGGGGGGCCCTCACACGTGCATAAGAAGTTGGCCCACCCACCATCACCTCCGCGTCGCATTCGCGAGAAGGAGGCCGACTTCCATTCTGGAGGTGGTGGTTGGGGGCTAAGTGACCTAGGCCTCGGGTCTTTGCCTCGCGGGCCTTCGGCCCCCGCCTCCCTCCTCCTTCGAGGCCCTCTGTTTCGATGCGAGGCTTCTCTCCTGCTCCTCGGCGGGGGTTCTCGGGCCCAGAGGCTGTTCCCCGAGGCTCCCACCTCTCGCCATCGCTCGGACGTCCATTCCCCGTGTATTTTTCGATTTCGTGCGTGGCTTGTTCCCCAAATGATCAAGGATGCTCCTCGATGGTCCTCGCCGAAGGAAACATGCACATGTCCGAGCGATGCCAAGACCTCCTGCCCTGGCCGTCCGACGGAGGCAGAGGGTGGGGCAGAGGTCCTGTGGCGCGCGCTCGGCCCGCGGGCCCGCGGGCGGGCGCGCGCGCGGGGCTGCGGCGGACAAGACCGCTGCGTGGCCGCCAGTGCGTGAGGAGGAGGAGGAGGGAGGAGGGAGGAGGGAGGAGGAAGGAGGAAGGAAGGAGGAGGGAGGAGGGAGGAGAGGGAGGAGGAAGGAGGGAGGAGGAGGAGGAGGAGGAGCAGGAGCAGGAGCAGGAGGATTGCATCGGGCGGGGCAGAGCCACCACGCCCCCCCCCTCTCCCCCACACCGCATCGCTCGGACGGGGCAGAGCAGGAGCAGGAGGAGGAGGAGGACTCGCCATCGCTCGGACGTCATCCTCCCTGCATTTTTCGATTTCGTGCGTGCTCTTTGCTCGATGATCCAGGATGCTCTTCGATGGTCCTTGCCGAGAAAAACATGCCCGCGTCCGAGCGACGCCAAAAGGTGGGGCGAAGGAGGCGGAGGCCTCACGCCGCAAACCGTCCTGATGGCGGTGCGCACCTCCACCCGCAACTCCGTCGACGCGCGCTTCTGGGCCGCCGTGAGGTCGCGCTCGAGGGTGCACTGCCACTCCTCGCCCACTCGGGGGGGCGGGGCAAGCTCCGAAGCTGCCGTGCCTTCGTACCTACATTAAGATCGGCGGCGAGCGAGGGGGGGAAGTGAGAAGGAGAAAGCCTTCTCAGAAGGCGGCGGGACTTCTCAGAAGCCCTCGCGCCTTTTGAGAACTTTTGTGTAAGGCCGGGGAACTTCGGAATCTTCTGAGAAGGCATTCTCCTTCTCACTTCCCCCCTCGCTCGCCGCCGAGACGAGGCCATGTCTGACGTCGAATCCGCCGTACTTTGTGGGTGATTTCGCAAGCGGGGCGGAAATCTCCGCCCTGATTCTCAAGCTCCGCCGATGCCGGTTTCCGCCCTGCGCTGCCGTGGCCATGTCCTCCACACTCTTGCAGAAATGCCCTCCGGAACGCTCCGAGGCGTACTGGAACGCTCTGGAACGATTCACCCTTGTCCTGGCCACACCCAGTACTCGGCGGCGAGCGAGGGGGAAGTGCGAAGAGGGAGAAGGTCTTCTCAGAAAGCGGCGGGGCTTCTCAGAAGCCCTCTGGCCTTCTGATAAATTCTCAGCGCCTTCGGGGGAAGCTCAGAACACGTCTCAGAAGCCCGGGTGACTTACGAGCCTTCTGAGAGGGCCCGCCCCTTTTCACTTCCCCCTCTCGCCAGCCGCCGAGACACGTCACGACGGCAAGTACGACAACGTGGGGAATGAAGCCACCAGCGATATCGAACCAGGGGAGTCCTAGGGGAACGGAGAATTACATAAACATGAAAACTCGGAGGTCCGCGCGGATTTCTCGGATCGGCGCTTGACCCCCCTCCCTGGCGTGCGTAGCGCGCCAGGGGCGGCGCTGGAGGCGCCGCCAGGGGGCCCCAGCGCGGATCCGAGAAGTCCGTGCGGACCTCCGAGTTTTTATGTTTATGTCGTTCTCCGTTCCCCTAAACGTGGGGAATGAAACCACCAGCGAAATCGAACCATGGGAGTCCGTGGGGCCAGCCGTTCCTGGGCCGCTCTCGCCCGCCCCTCCCAGGCGAGACCGAGGCGCGGGAGCGGAGCACCGCGGCACAGGACGGGATCCGGAGCACCGCCGGCAGCGAAGCTGCTGACTACTCGGGGGGTGAGGATCCATCGAGAACCTCTGAGATCCGGCGGTTCTGGAGGATGTTCGGGGGCGGCGAAGAGGGGGGCGTCCAAGAGGGGGGGGCGCAAATCATGGCCGGCGGCATGTGCGCGGTACAAGGGGGGACCAGGGACGTAATGAAATAGGAAAAGGCGCCATGAAATCTGGGGAAATATCATGGCCCACGCGCGCGATGACATCCCCCCCCTAGTCATCACCCCCCTCTTTGCTGCCCCCGTGATGTATCGGGCGCCGCGGCCTTCTCAGAGCGTTCCGGAACGCTCTGAGAGCATTCCGGAGCGCTCTGGACGGACTTTTATCCTCGTCCTAGCCCCGTCCGACCTGTGCCGCTCGCCTCTGGGGGGAGCTCTCCCACGACCACTGCTGGGGACGAGGAGGGATGGACAAAGAACGCAAACAAGATCGTTCAATATCGAATCGGAAAGTCGCATCGAGCCGAGAATGTGCGTCGGGTCGAGCCGCATCGGCCCAGAGTCGAGATCGAACTGAAGAACGGAGGATGGGGGAAGCGGGATGAGAAAATAACCCCAATTGTAAGAGCACTGCCCTCCGTCCACGCTGAATGCGAGCACCGCGAAGGCGAGAGCGCCCCAATCTATCGGATCCCTGCATGTGCAGGATGTTGGTTGCGAGCATGGTCGGCGCTAGTGCGAGAACCACATTTTAACTTGAATCTGCCATCCATCCGTCTCGATACTGCGGCCAGGGCGAGTGCGCGAGGCGAGAACCATTGTTTGTTTGAAAATTGATCGGCGCTCGTAGAAACAACAGCTGCTCGAAACGGAACTCGTGTGCATCACTATGCTCGTCTGAGCGCACCCCCTCGTGACAGACCTGGGCTCGGTGGTCAACATGCTGGTGACGCCACCGCTGGAGGTCAAGGAGATGTTGGTCGAAGGCACAGGCCAGCGGCAGATGAAGAGGATTATCTTCCACATACCCGAGGCCTTCGAGCATGAGCAAGTGTGGCGCAAGGGCTTGCGGTGAAGCATCCGCGGCATTCGAGACCCTGTTCGTCGTGGATGTGCTCGGTTGTTGGATGCAGGCTGCTCGACCCCTGCGAGGAAACACCTTGCCAGGCTTCGCGAGTCAGCACCATGTGATATCTGTCCTTGCAATAATGCCGCGCTTGGTTACCAACTGTTTGGTGACTCTATTGTCACTGAACCCCGAAATGACCTCGATAGATCTATGCAAAGTACAAGTGTGTATATCTATATACATATATATACATATGTATAGAACCCCTTCCTCACGACCTCCTGGAACACAGGCAGGTTTTAAGGGACGAGGGGTCCAATAATCTCAGTGCCAATCGGGACACGCTTGAACTTTCGTATGGACGCCCGTTTTACCCTTTTGACCCCCCTCCCCCTGCGTCCCGAATGCCCTGTGCTCCGACGGGGTGCAAATGAAGGGGTTTGGGAACACCTGGTCTACACAGACGGCTCTAGGCTAGCCAACGCTAGCCCACAAAGCTCAGGCGTTGAGAATGGGCCGTGGCCGAGCTGGGCCCCAGCGGGATCCCCGCCAAGGTCCTGTAGGGGCCCTTGCCTGGGCGCCAAACGGTGCCTCGCGATTAGATGTGCGCGATCAAGGTTGCACACCACGGCGTCGAGGTTTGTAGTGACCACCTCTCAATTGCTAATGAGAGGTGCTTGTGGGATCCTAGTCTGGTGGGCCTAGGCCTTTGCATCCTGATGCACGGCGCAATATCGCCGCGCTCTCCGAGGGCCGCCCTCGGCCCAAGGTCCGCTGATTGCCGTCCCATCGTGAGCTTGAAGACATGCCCCATCGTTCCCAGCAAGGGCTGACCGACCACCCAAACCACCCCTGGGCTGACTTCGTTGCTCGGCTCGGATCTTCTATGCAACACATTGCTGATGGGCTGGTCTCTCCTTAAGCGGAAGTGGGACTATCTCTCGCATGCGCAAAGCATACGTATAACTGATGACGCCTTCCAACGGGCCCCATCAGCCGACGCGTGCCGAGTTTGTCAAGCACAAGGTCGATGTTAAATATCACAAACTTGTATGTGTGAAGAATCGTAACGGGTGGCGTTGCCTAAGTGTAATGCCGCCGCGGATTCAGGACTGCAAGCGGGTGGGAGTCGCCATTGCAAACCAGATGCACACGAACGGCGTGCTGACCAATCTTTCGCCCAGGCCGATCCCAGTCGATCCGATCCCATCATCCAAGTCGTCTTCGCGGCTGCTGATGGGGTCATGGTTCCGCCTCCTGACCCCGCCTCCTCCGCCAGTGCTCGTGGGGCCTCGGACGGGGATGGGCTGGGAGTCTTTCGGCGGCTGCGTCACAAGCCACGATTGTATCCCACGAAACTTATACGCCTGTGGTGCGCATGTTCCCTCGTGCTCCCGAAAGGCAGCGGTCGTGGCCTCAAAATGGAGCGCGAAGGGGAAGCTCAGCTGCGCACCGCTCGGGGTGGGCACCTCGGGATGATCTCTGCTGTTTCGCGAAGTCACCATCCTAAAACAGGCGTCCAACTGTAAGTCCTTGCGCAACAATTTTGTTGGGCTCAGCTTGTTGACCCTCCATGAGGGGTAAGACTCATTATGGCCCTCGGCTGTCCCCGTACTAATGCGCCGTGTTCGCCTTCCTCGACTGCACTGCTGCATGTTCGCTCGCTCGCTTTTTGCGATCCATGGATTTGGCGCGCGGTCGCCAAATCCATGGATCGAGGGAGGCGCCCTCCCCAAAATGCGGCCAGTGCCGCCCCGGTCGGCGGCGGAGATCCGCGATTTCCTATGGAAACGGGGCCCGTCGCTAATCCACACCTCCTTGATCCACGTTTGCGGTCGCCTGAAAAACGGTGCCGCGATGCGATCGGCTCAGGTTTTGCGCGTCGTCGACCCGTCGGTCGGAAGACCATGATTTAGGAAGGCGTTGGAGGCAGGCTGGATCTCCGCGCGCCCCCTGGGGGAGGGAAGAGGGAAAACCGCTCGATCCTTGAAGTGGGAAGGCGCCTAGCGTAGACAGGGATCGCAAGAAATGCCTGCTCTCAACGTGTCATGATCGCCTGATCCTCTTCGCCCATCCTGCTCCTCATCCCCCCCCGCGGCTCCTTCAGATGCCCCCGCAGCTCCTGGTTGTGCGTCTGCGGTGTGGGGGAGATGGGGGGGGGGCGTGGCTCTGCCCCGCCCGATGCAATCCTCCTCCTCCTGCTCCTGCTAAGGCACAGCCGAGACACGACACACACTCCACATGCAACAAATACTACGACTACCAGGCGCTAGCAACGCGGCCGTACATCACCCGCGTCTGCTGGGCGGTGGGGGCTGTACCCAGCGAGAGCAGGTCGATGTCCGCTGCTGCGAAGGCGACCGCGCGCTCCAGGGCAGCCCTCCAGGGCAGCGCTCCAGGGCATGTCCTGCTCCTGCTCCTGCTCCTGCTCCTCCTTTTCCTCCTCCTCCCTCCTCCCTCCTCCCTCCTCCCTCCTCCCTCCTCCCTCCTCCCTCCTCCCTCCTCCTCCTCCTCCTCCTCCTCCTCCTCCTCCTCCTCCTCCTCCTCCTCCTCCTCTCTCCTCCTCCTCCCTCCGTCCCTCGTCCCTCGTCCCTCGTCCTCGTCCCGCGTCCCTCGTCCCTCGTCCCTCGTCCCGTCGTCCCTCGTCCCTCGTCCCTCGTCCCTCGTCCCTCGTCCTCGTCCTCGTCCCTCCCTCTCCTCCTCCCTCTCCTCCTCCTCCTCGTCCTCCTCGTCCTCCTCGTCCTCGTCCTCCGTCTCCTCCTCCTCCTCCTCCTCCTCCTCCTCCTCCCTTTCCTCCTCCCCCAGATCCTCGTCCACGAGGCCCGTCCACAAGGCCGTCCACGGTGACGACGCAACCGAAGAACGACCGAACCGGCAACAACTAACAGCACTTAACATGGCGCACACGTGATCCAACTTGGTCCCAGGATGCTCCCGTGCGTTCGTAAGATTGACCCCAGAGGCCCTCAGATATTCGCAGCACTGTGCAATGGTAACCCCACATGTGAGCCCCAGAGGCCCCAAGATGTCCACAGTGGGGCGCTGAAGGCCATAGCAGCACTGTGTGCCCCCCCGTCGGAGGCGCGCGTCCGACAGGAACGACCACAGCAAGCACCTGGTAACATATTGCTGTCCAAGCGGCATGGCTGGACCACGACCGCCACGGTGACTGCCCACCTACCAGGCCACCTCAACCCAACCCGGAATTCCAAATTTCGGGTTGGGGGTCGTACAGGTTCCATCAGTGTTTTTTCACTGTTCCTGGATGCATCACCATTGGGAATGGAGGGCAACTTGGGGCCTTCGCGTTGGGTTGGGGTGGCTTGGAGGGTACGGTCGGACTCAGGCCAGAAGAACATCCCTCAAGAACATGAGACCCACCGTCGGCCAAAACAAGCAGAACATTCGAGGGTACCCTCCCCAGGAAGCACAATAACGTCCAACAAACACGAAAAACATCAAAGTACCCTCCCCCAAGTGACCTCGCTCTCATACCTCGGTTCAAATTGTTCACATCGTGCTCAAGGACCACATTCCGGAAATAACTTCGAGCACCCAGAAAAGTACCTCGAAACAGTGCCGAGCACATATCGAATCGCCTCCACGCGACAACCCCCAAACTTGATTACTTTTCTTGGCGCTCAAACTTCTTTCCGGTGATCACGGCTAAAAGAGGCTGGAAATTCACTAGAATAATAATAATAATAATAACAAACGCAATAAACATAAACTTTTGGCGCTCCGCGCGGATTTCTTGGATCTGCGCCGGACCCCCCTCCCTGGCGCGCGAGGCGCGCTAGGGGCGGCGCCGCGGATCCAAGAAATCTGCGCGGAGCGCCAACAGTTTATGTTTATGGCGTGTTTATTCTTCGAATCGCAGGCCTCGGTCTGACGGTACAGTCGGACTCGATTGGACACACATTGCCACAATAATGAAGGAAGCATGGGCCGCGAGACACAGGACACAAGGGTACCCTTGATTTGGCAGTGTCGCCCTACTACTCTGGGCCGACTGTAGTGAGCGACTGATGCTGGCCGTGCTGTGAGACGCTTCGGTGTGCCCGCCGCCCGAGTGCGGAACGCGACGCGCATCTCACGACAAACCTGCCTGCGTCCGACCGGCGATGCCTCGGCGATGCACCGGCGATGCGTCGGCGATGCGTCGGCGATGCGTCGGCGATGCATCGGCGACGTCGACGCGAAGCAGATCGGGCTGCACCTCGAGCTGCCTCGGCGACGCATCGGCGATGCGGCGCGAGCCTCCGACCCCAGCTGCTCCGACCCCATCCAGGAGGCCTAGACTTGACCAAGATCAGTCAGCATCAAATCGAGACATCGGCTCGGCTGGTTCGAAATCGAATCGGATCGGCCGCGCAAGCATGCACAACAAGCGCCGTGCAAGCATCGGGCCGTCTCGGATCGTGGGAATGTCGGTCTCGAATCGGGCCGGCCAAATCGAGATGGACCTTGCCGAGGGCCTCCAGATGCTCCCCGAGAAATCTTCAACGTGGTCGCAATGTATTCTACAGCCATCTCCACCGGGGGGGGAGAGCGGCATGCGTAGAAGAACGCAATCTGTCTTCAAACATCCATAGCAACAGATCAGGGACGCACCGACCCTGGTCAGCCCAAACCCGGGTCGGCCAGAGCCCTGTCGCGAAGCCCAGCCGGCCGTCGAGCTGCTCCCAAACGGGGGCCAGCGGAAAGCAGAAAAGCGGAATCGGCCCTCGGGGATCTGACCCGGATCAATCCAGACCCGAATCGGTCAGGCCTTGCAAGATCCTACAAGATCTCGCAGGATCCTGCACCCAAGCCCAGGTCAGTGCGACCCTGGCTCTGCAGGATCCGGCAAGATCTGGCGCTCTGACTGACCCCCGTTTGCATTGACCCCCGTCTCTTGAGCCCCGAGGCCCCACGTGGCTCCCGAACCCGGGTCAGCCAGAGGGGATGATTGGGCTGACCCCCGTCAACGCCGATCCCCGTCACATTGCGGGACCCCCCGAACAAACGATACCATTCCGTGGCCGGGAGAGCGGCGCCCTCCCGTCCTTGGCCACGGCGGTCATCTCCTTGGTCGCACGAGCCGACCGCTGCCGCGAATCAGTTCTGGAGCAAAACAGGAGGCGTTCCAGGGTGAGAGGGGGAGGGTGGGGAGAATGACGTCTTGCTATCCAAGTGCCACGGCGCCGGACGTGATATGCTGCGCTCAAGATGGAACTTTGCAGTGAGGGCAGTCTGGCAACAATTGAACCATGGGGCGCCACACAATTTGAGATCCAATCGCCAGGTTGCGCGGGGGCGGGGAGGGGCAACGAGGATAATGTGTCAACGAGGGGTGCAACATGTTGCGATTCAGGCGCTGTCTTGCGGGACGGTCATCGGGACGTAAATACAGGTATGAAGTGTCTGCCAACGTGGATCCCAAGCAGGAAGATAGTGTACTGTGGGCGTTTAGGCTATGTGGTACAAGCTACGTTGTGCCAGCTATGTGGTGAAATCTATGAACTGCAAGCTGTGTAGTGAAAGTTCAGTCGTGTAGGTGCCATCAATGCTGTGCAAGCTGTATGATGTAAGCTGTGTGATGGTATGTGTGTGGTCTGAGCTTTTGTTCGTTTCAGTATTCCCTCAAGGCAGTGGTCTCTGCCCACCCTCCCGCAGCAGTCTATTCGGTCTAAGCTGGAGGAGGAGGAGGAAGGAGGAGGAGGGTGAGGAGGTGGAGGAGGGGGTGGAGGAGGAGGAGGGTCAGGAGGAGGAGGAGGAGAAGGGGGATAAGGAGGAGGAGGTGGAGGAGGGGGAGGAGGAGGAGGAGGGTCAGGAGGAGGAGGAGGAGGAGGAGGAGGAGGAGGAGGAGGAGGAGGAGGAGGGAGGGGATGATGATGATGATGATGATGATGATGATGATGATGAGGAGGAGGAGGAGGAGGAGGAGGAGGAGGAGGAGGAGGAGGAGGGGGAGGAGGAGAGGAGGAGGAGGAGGAGGAGGAGGAGGAGGAGGGGGAGGGGGAGGAGGAGGAGGAGGAGGATATGTGGTGTAAGCAGCGCGGTGCAAGCTGTGCTGTGCAGGCTATGCGGTGCGAGCTGCCTCGTCGCCCAGCGCACGAGGCGCCCACGAGGTGCCCACGGGCGGGCACCGGGCGAGAAACCTCGGCCGACCCACCCAACGCACGAGGCGCCCACGGGGCGCCCACGTGCGGGCACCAGGCAAACCCTCGGCTGTCCCTCCCTGCGCACGAGGCGCCCACGGGCGGGCACCAAGTGAAACGTCGGCTGACCCATCCGTTTTTGTGTGTAATGCTTTGTTTAAAACAACACCACCACCACCAGCAACAGCAACAACAACAACCACAACATCAACAACAACAACAACAACAACAACAACAACAACAACAACAACAACAACCACAACATCACCAACAACAACAACAACGACAACAACAACAACACCAACAACAACAACACCAACAACCACAGCAACAACACCAACACCAATACCAACAACAACAACAACCACACCAACAACAACAACCACAGCAGCAACAACAACAACACCAACAACACAAACAACAAAAGCAACAACAACAGCACCAACAACAACAATAACATCAACAACAACATCAGCAACAACAACAACACCAACAACAACAAAAACAAAAACAAAAACAACAGCAACAATCATTTTAAGACTGTTCGCCCTTATATGCTCGAGTGTCCAATAACACGTATTTCCCAAACCCTCGATACCCGCCCTCTTCGTCTTCGATCGAACCCCTTTTGGGGGGTATACCTTTCTTCCCTGCAGGCCGGGCCCCGGCAAGCGGCGGGGCGGCCGCGGACCGTCGGCCTGGCCAGCGGCAGCGCTGATCGGCCGGGCGGCCGCTGACCGTCGACCCGACCCCAAGAGGGACGGACAGGGGACCGACCACGACGACGACGACGACGACGACGACGACGACGACGACGTCGAAGACAACGGCGACGACGGCGACGTCGAAGACGACGGCGACGACGAGCGAAAGCGAGAGCGAGAGAGAACGACAGCAGGGCCACGAAGGGCACGAAGTAGGTCACGAAGGGCGACAGCGGGGACACGAAGGGAATGCGTATGGGGCCACGAAGAATGCGAACGAGCGGGGGCCACGAAGTGCAGATAATGCGGGCCACAGAAGGCAACAATGGGGCCACTGAGGGTAGCAACTGGGCCACGTAGGACAATGAGGGGGACACAAATGGCGACAGCGGGGCCACGAAGGGCATGCACATGGGGCCACAACGGGCGCGACTGCTGGGTGCCTGGGTGTCGGGAGCGCGGCGCTTGGGCAAATTGCAAGAAATTCCAACGCAAGGCTATCCTTCAGTGAGTTGCAAGCAAGTCTCCAGCAAGAGCGCGACTCCAGAGCTCCAGAAGAGCGATTCCTGAATGAATTGTAAGGAAGTCCCAAGCGAGAGCGCGATTCCTGAATTCGCCGGCCCGACGGGCCAGAGGCGTGCTAAGATCTCCGGTAACTGGTTAATAATTCTCTAGTTCGCGCGCGCGGGGCGGCCCCTGGGGGTCCCTGGACGAAAAGTACCCCGGGCGGGTCCCGGCTGATCCCCGGGCGACTCCACCGGAGCGCTCCATGAGCGCACCAACAGGGCTCCGAGACGTCCCCGAGAGCCCCAAGAAAGGCCAAGAGGCCCCCAAGAGGCCCCCAAGATGGTACACGAGGGGTCCGACATGCCACAAGATCGCTCCAAGACGCCCAAGATAGCCCCCAGACGCCCCAAGAGGCCTCCAAGAGCACTCCCAAGAGGGCCCCAGGAGGCAAAATTCACTGCTTTTCCTTAAGTTTTTGAAAGATTTTGGAGCTTCCACCTTTTCGGCTCCCCGACGCCCCAAGACGGCCCAAGAGGCCCCCAAGATCGCCCCAAGAGGGCCCAAGAGGCCCCCAAGAGGCCCCCAAGAGGGCCCCAAGATGGCCCAAGAGGGCTCGAAGACGGCCCAAGAAGTCTCCAAGACGGTCCAAAAGGGCCCCAAGAACGCCCCCAAAGGGGCCCCAGAGAGGGAACACGAAACAACATTTCGAGCCCTCGGCCCTAAGAAGCCCCCACGAGGCCCCAAGAGGCCCCTAGCCCCAAGAGGCCCCCACGAGGCCCTCGGGAGGCCCCCAAGAGTCCCCCAAGCGGCCCCAGGAGGCCCCCCAAATGCCCCCCCGAGCACGCAAGCAAGTGCAAGCGATGCTACAATGTGCTCTCCTTTCGGTAGACTCCGAACGGGGCCCCTACAGACTTGCAACAAGCGTCAAGAACCTGCCCAAAAAGCACTGTCCAGGAGCGTTCACAAGTGCCGCGAAGAAGCCCTCCTTACGCTGGAAAGCCCGGAAAGCCTGGTGGGGTGAGCTGTTCTTCTCACCACCGCGCCCTCTCACACAATGGCCTCCGCACGCCGCCCAGAGCGCGACGTTCGGCTCATGCCCCCAGAACGCTCCAGGAGCGCGCCAAAACGGCACCGGAACGCCCCCGAAACAATCCAAGCGGCCTCAAGTCGCCGAACAATCGTTCCAAATCGCCCAAGATGACCTCACAATTGCCGTCGAGGCCGCCAAGAAGCCCCAAAAGAGCCTCAAGAGGCCCTCCAAGACGGCCATTACAATCAAAAATCGTCCCATTCCCAGAGGAACATGTACACTTCCCGCACGAACTGCGTTTCGAATTTCACAGCGCCTCAGACTACGCAAATAGCCCCCAACATCGCCCCGAGACAGCCCAACAATCCGCTAAAATCGGCCCAAGACGGCCCAAGATAACCCCAAGACGGCACAAGAGAGCACCAAGACCGCCCAAGAGGCGCCCAAAGGGGGATTCTGCCCCTAGGAGCACCTCAGAAGCCACCAACATCCCGCCAATAAGTCCCCCAAGACGCCCCAAGAACCACCCAAGAAGCCCAACAAGAAGCCCCAACGACCCCCAAACGGCCCTTACGGGGCCTCAAGAGGCTTCAACACTGCCTCCAAGAGGTTCCCGAGACGCCTGGCAAAAGAACCCCCAAAGCGCCGCATTGACACCAGGCCCTCGGGCAAACGGCAGACATGAGACTGTATGGGCCGGCGGAATGAGCGAAGCGATTAAATAAAATGCGAAGAAGTCTCGGGCGGGAGCGGGGGTCCTGCCTAAATTGTAAGGAAGTCTCAGGCGGGAACCGTTGTTGTTGTAGTCCGGGGGCCAGGGGGCCAGTTTGACCATGAAGACTTTCCCTGTAAAAAAAACAGGGTGCGAGCGTCGAGGGCACACTTTGATTGAGAAAAAACTGTATGCACCGGTGGGGGGGATCAGCAATAATTACTCTTCAGAAATGAGAATTCAACAGCAGCAGAAGGAAGCAAGAACAACAACAACAACAACAACAACACCACCACCACCACCACCAACAACAACAACAACAACAACAACACCACCAACAACAACAACAACAAATACAACAACAACAACAACACCAAAAACAGCATCAACAACAACAGCAACAACAATACAAACAACGAACCCGTAGAAGTGCAAACGCCGTTTGGGGAATTCCGAAGCGCGACAGACTGCCCACCAAATGCATCCCTGAATCTTGTAGCAGAAATTATATAAACGAACCCGGAAAAGGAAGGACCCCCAGGAGGGCCCTAAGACACAACAATTTGCACGTTCCACACATGTTTGAACCAATCCAGCTTCATAGTGTTCGGGACTTCCGGTAGCCCAAGACGGTCCAAGAGGCAACAGAAGTCTCCCAACACTGCCTCGGATCGGCGGCGAGCGGGGAGGGAAGTGAGAAGAAGAAGGCCTTCTCAGAAGGTTCGGAAGTCCCCCGGCCCAGTCTCCCCGCAGACCAAACAAAAACTTCTCAGAAAGTGCGACGGCTTCCGAGAAGCCCCGCCGCCTTCTGAGAGGGCCTTCTCCTTCTCATTTCCCCCCCTCGCTCGCCGTCGATCAGAGGCCCCCGCGAGAGTCTCGAAACGGCCCAAGCGGGCCTGAGAATTCAAGAACCCCCCAGAAGCAATCAGAGACCGCGAGCAGGCCCCGTGCCACCGCGAGCAAGCCCCAAGCCGCGAGCGGGCCCCCTCCCGCGAGCACGCAGGCACGTGCCACCAACGACACAGCATGGGACGGCAGAATGAACGACACGATTGAATCCATACGGTCATCGCCCTGACCCAAGGAACGATAAATACGGAACGAAGCCCCTTTTTTCCAAGGAATAACGCATAAGGAACGATACATAATACATAACGCACAAGGAACGATAAATGACGCATGCAAGCCTAAAGGACGACCGAACCTTTTTGAAAAGTAAGTGTTCCTTATTGAAGCCGCTCACAGTATCCTGCGACTGTGCAGTGGAGGTCAGTCCACAAGAAACCTTCCACAAGAAACCCAACCCTGAGACCCCAGGACGTCCATTGTTTTTCGGTGTTGGAAGGTCCCGCCTTCCATCGCAAAACCATCGAAGCCCAAGAAACCCAGGGCACCCTGGAGGCAAGCAAGGTGTTTCTTGGCATGGGTCTCCACTGTATGGGACAGCAGAATGAATAAAACGCTTTAAATCCATATCCTGCGACGGTACTGGCACCCGCGCAAACATCGGCCCAGATGCCCCGCCCGAGCCGACTGAAATCCATTCGCAATGAACCTTGAACGTTCGCGTCACGCGTCCGTCGCCTTTCCAGATCCGATTTCTGGCATGGGCGATTGCATACTGCCTCCCCGATTTGGCGTAGAAGGTAAAGCTCCGCGCTGGACACCCGTAGAACGTTTGCCTTCCCCGCGGACCACTTCGGGTCTATTCAGACCACATGGCGTCCCTGGCGTGAATCTGTTGACTAGAAAACCCGATGAGATCGGCGCTGACAAAAACGCTTCGAAACAATAACGAAAAGGGACTCACGCAATATAAGTACTCGGACTGGGCGCACTTGTCGACTTGTGGCTCCTTCTGGTCCAATTCAGGATGTCTTTGTTGACGAGCAGGGCTCGTGTCGCATGCAATCATCACATGTTCTATTTTGACTCCGTGGCCCAATTTCTTGGTGACCTGGCCCTGCGTAATGCAAAACGTGCTTCCGAAGCAGAACGACAACTTCCCAGGTCATGCCCCTGCCCGCTCTCGTATACGGACCACCCAGCCCAGTACACTTCCAACTCTCACGTCATGCTGTTATGGCTGCGAAGTGGCCCGTGGGATTGCCGCTGGCCTCTCTTGAAGAATCTCGTGGGCCTATCGGGGCCTCCGGGACCGTCCTGGGGCTTCATGGATGCCTCTGGGCCGTCATGGTGCTCCCTGAAGGCCTTGGGCGGCCCAACGGGAAAATAATGTTCCACCTCTCGACCAGAAGCCCCTCGTACACAGCAGATGCAAAATCACACACTACGGAACGCATGGCACGTGTGTGCGTAAAGTGAAGGTTCTGCCGCAATGGGCCTTGGATAAGGAACGACGCCCCTGTGGGGGCCTCGGCTGCGCTCAGACGCAAGCTGAGTGCCAGAGGAAGATCCATCCATGCAGGTCCCCGGCAGCATGAGCCTTGAGGGGGGGATGGTGAGGGCGCCCCCCCGACCACATCACGGCGGAGGGCCGCTGGGCATCTAGTGGAGATCCTGGAACAATCCGTGGGACATCGGTAAACCAAAGAACGAACGAAGCTGCCGCCGCGTGGGCAAAACAGCGTGGCGTGATCGAGGGGGGGGGAGGGCGAGGGCCGATCACGGCCGCTGTCGCTCCGTCGAGACCCCCCCGAATCCAAAGCAGACCGCGTCCCGAATTTTTACCCGCCCAGGTCATACGACTTCGCTCATCGCGCCCTCGAGGAACGCGCGGCTGTCTTCGTGCCCGCGCGCCGCCCCCCTCGAGAAGGGCGCCTTTCTCCGACCCGGGCCGCGATGTGCAAGCCGCGGTTCTCTTCGCGCCTCCATCGGGTGAGCTGGCATAACGCACGCGGGCCGACATTGGTTCAGCCGCGTGCTCGTTGCGTCGCTGTTTTTCGCTAGCCGGCAGGACCAACCTAAGGCCCGCTCGTGCTGCAGCCGCTCCCGCGTCATCTGCCCGAGTGCCGAGTCGGCCAAGACCCTCTCGAGGTGGTCCAGGCGCTCGGACAGCCTCCGAAGGGCCAGGCGAAAACTGGGGGAGGGGGCTTCGCGACGAAGGGTTGGCCAGATCAGTCCGCATCGAATCGAAAAATCGGAAATCGACTCGGCATTTCCGTCGGTTCGGCCTGCATCGGCACGGAGCCGGAATCGAGTGGGCCCCGGCGGACGTCAAACAACTAAGTTATATACTCGGCACGACGAGGAGCCGGTCCCAGGGAAGAGGTCCAGACCTCTGGGAAACCACGCCGTGGCATAATCACGACGTCCGATGTCTGGGACGGAGGCGCCTGGGCCGGGGTCTGGCGGAGGGCCCGCCTCTCCCCCGGCACAGCACAACCCGCCGGTTGGGCATCCTGGCCCTCTGTCCGAAGAAGGGGAGAGAGAGAGAGAGAGAGAGAGAAAGAGGGAGGGCAGGGGAAACTTAGGGAGAGGAGAGGAGTGATGCTGCTATTGCTGACGACGGCGACGACGAGCACGACGACGTTGGAACTGATGGCGATGACGGTGATGAAAATGATGCTGATGCTGATGCTGATGATGATGCTGCTGATGACGCTGCTCCTGGCCCTCTGTCCGAAAAAGGGGAGAAAGAGAGAGAGAGAGAGGGAGGGCAGGGGAGACTTGGGTAAAGGAGAGGAGTGTCGGTGCTGCTGCTGCTGACGACGACGACGACGAGCACGACGACCTTGGAACTGATGGCGATGACGGTGATGATGGACATGATGATGATGCGGATGCTGATGATGATGCTGCTGATGATGACGCTGGTGCTGCTGATGATGATGATGATGAGGTTGATGATAAACATGCGTATGAAGGTACGATTGTGGTGATGCTGATGCTGATGATGACCAACACGATGATCAATATGATGATTATAGTGCTGTTCATGATTCTAATTATGTTTATCATGATGATGGTGGTGGCGATGCTGACGATGCTGATGATGGTGATGGCAATGATGATGCTGCTGATATGATGATGCTGCTGATGGTGATGTTGGTGATGATGATCCACGCGTCTAAAGAGGTCAGGAACTCCTAGCTCGCACTGCCCCATCGGGCCGGGGCGTTTCCCTTTGGCCCTGCGGAAGCAACGCGCGGTCTCGTGCCCAAGGCACACACGCAGATTCGCCTGAGTGCCGAGAAGCCACCCCCCGCCCCAGCCGAAGCAGGCGGAAACGACACCCGAGCAGTCACGGCGACTCAGCCCGCGACGCCCGCGAGCTGGTACGGGGCCTCGAGTGGGACCCCCAGGAGGATGCTGGTCGCGGCGAGGGAGGTCCGAGAGGCGGACCCCCGCTTCCAGGAGCTCGCGCGCAGACAGGAAGCCTGTGCCGCCGGCAAGGCCGCCGCGCTCCGACCAGTCCTCGCACGCACTCACGCTCGCACCTAGGCCCAGGCCGACCTCGCGCTTGTACTGGCCCTTCGGGTCCTCCAGCCCGCCCTCGAAGAAGCCCCCGTCCTCGTCCAGGTCCAGGCCGAACTTGCGTTTGTGCGTGCCCTTCTGGTCCCCCAGCGCCTGGGGGGGGGCGCTCGGCTCAGGGGGCTCGACCACCCACGCGTCCATGGCCCCGAGCGGAGGCTGAGCTCGGTCGAAGGAAGCGCCCACCCGCACGTCTGCGGCCTCGAGCACGAGCTCGCCTCCCCCTCCCTTTAGGGTCTGCCCGTGTCTGGGCTCCCCATGGACGCTTCCGCGTCCCGACGCCAGCCGATGGGGGGGGGCCTCATCCCAGGGGATTCGACCACCCACGCGTCCGTGGCCCTGGAATGGGGCTGAGCTCGGTCAAGGGCTTCGGCCACCCGCACGTCTGCGGTCTTACTCCAAAGCTCACCCCCCCGATTCTGGGTCTGCCCAACAGCGGGCTCCCCAAGGACGTCTCCGCGCCCCGACGTCGACGAGGAGCCTCTCTCCTCTGAGGCTTCGGCCACGCGCGCATCCGCGGCCCAGGGTGGAGGCTGGACCTGGTCGAGGGCTTCGGCCACCCGCATGTTTGCGGCCTCGCGCCGAGGTCCGTTGCCTTCCTTTAGGGTCTGCCCCTGTCAGGGCTCCCCAAGGACCGCTGCTGGCCCCAGTAGAAGGAGGCGCTTCTGCAGGCGCCTGAGCCCCCTAGGCAGCCGCACCCGCGGCCAGCCATCCAGAGGCTCCAGCTGCTCGCTGCCGTCCTCAGCGATAGCGTCGACGTAGTCCCTGAAACTCACGGCGACTGCCGCGCGGTGGCGCCGCGCCCGCAAAGCTCGGACGCCCCCATCTCGGCCGACTCCTTCAGGCGCGAGGTCGGGCGTGACAGCCCCAAGGAGGCCGGCAGGAAAAAGGGAGGGCGCCTCCGCCCGCATCGCCCCAACGGCAGCCTCCTCGGCCTCGCGCCTGGGCGCCGCGCGCCCCTCCAGCCGGGGCCCCCGCTGGGCACAGCGCAGCTCCGCCGCTCCCGCCGCCACGATGTCAACGCCCTGCGCCTCAGCGTGGAGGGCGACATTACGGCGCAGGCGCTCGAGCCATGTGGGGGCCTACCCCCAAGCTTGGCTTGCAGCGCGGGGAGCATCGCCTGCAGTCACTGCCCAACCTCGCCGTCGCCGATGACGGCGCACAGGGCCTCCTCCGCAGCCTCCATGCGAAATCGGGTCTTGGCCAACTTGCCCGAGAGCCGCCAGACGGCATTGTCGGCGGACCACTTTGCCCACTCTCGGCCTGCCCTGCCCTGGGCCGCCGATCGCCTTGGCGCGCACTCCGCGCCATCCCGTGCCACCATCGCTCCGTGAGCCAAAATGGCTTGAGCCAAAATGGCTACGGATGATGATGATGATGATGATGATGATGATGATGATGATGATGATGATGATGATGATGATGATGATGATGATGATGATGACGATGACGATGACAATGACGATGACGATGACGATGATGATGATGATGATGATGCTGCTGCTGATGATGATGCTGATGCTGATGATGATGATGGTGATGATGATGGTGATAATGATGATGATGACGATGACGATGGCAACGACAACGATCCAAGATGGCTCGACGGTGACCCACGATGTCCCGAAGAGGACTCACAAGTGCTTCCAGAGAACCGCCGAAGGGTTCCCAAGATGCAGAAATCGCCCCATCCAATCCCCTCAGGAAAACGTATATTTTGGGCACGCCAGCCTCTTTCGTCCTGACGGCGTCCAAGGCGGCCCAAGGGGCCCCAAAGCTCGTCCCAAGACGGCCCATGAAGGCCCCAAGAGGGCCCCAAGACAATCAAAAGGGCCCCCCCAGGACGGCCCCAGGGGCTCCCCAAGCGGCGCAAAAGAGCGCCAAGAGGGCTCTAACATTTCGAGCCTTTCCCCCCAAGATGCTACACGACGCCCTGAGACGCCCCCAAAACGCACCACAAAGGTCTCCCCGAGGCTCCCAAGAAGCCCCAAGGGGACCGTTAAGAAGCCCCGTGAAGCCCCCGAGATGTCCCCAATAGCCAGTAGCCGGGAGGTCGGCGGAATGGCGTAAGCGATTTGAAGAAGGGCGCGGAGAGGGTAGGTGAGGGAGCTGATGATGACGGGGAGTGGTGCGTAGGAGGGGTAATTACGCAGGATACCCATGCCTCCGACGTTTTTTCTGTCCGCGGGCCCCAGACGTTTTGACCACTCACCGAGAGGCAGATTTTTCCCCAGAAACATTCTAGACGGCCCCGGGACATGGCCCGGAGGCCGGAATTGGGATAAAACGCTGAGGTTGAAAACTCAACCCGCCCGAACTCTGGGGAAGCAGGACGACGCGCCGAGGAGGACACCGAACATCCAACGCCGCGTTTTGTTCACAGCGTGACCCCTCAGAGGGTCTGGACCCCTTCCTGGGGACCAACTTTTAAGCGTTTTCTTATTCTGGGTTTCGACATTTGGCCGAGAAGTGGGTGAGAGGGGGGCTCTGGGCGTGGGCCGGTGCTTAGTCATCTGCCTTGACCAGTCGCGCCAGCAGATAAGGTGGAATGGGTCTTGACCAAAAGCAGCCGCCAAAAGCAGACAAGATCTGGTCTATGGTCGGCGACTTCAAAGGGTGTGGTTTGCAAAGGGTGTGGATTGCATCGGGCACCCTGGGAAACATCCTGGGGGGCACCCTGGGGGGCGCGCGGGGACCTCGATAGGGTTCTCCCGCGCCCCGAGGAGGCCCGACGAGGACGGTGTCGTGCCCCAACGGCGCCGATCGCAGACCACACCATGGCGTAACCGTACCCTTTGCAGTCGCCGATCTGGGGGAGGGGTCAGGAGCCCACGCCGATTTGTGAAGCAACAAAAACCGTGACTTCCCCAACGTCGACCCCTGGACCTGTTCTGGGGTGCCTTCTCACCAGAAAGGACTTCGAAGCGGACCCAGCCGTGGCGAGGAGACGACCTCCAAAGGCCCAGAGAAGCCGATCAACGCCCAAACGAGAGGGAGTGGTACGGCTTCCTGTTGCGCACAGGATTTGGGTTCCGCTCAATGTGGGGGGGGGCGATGAGTGTGGGGGGGGGGAAAGGTGTCTTTTTCTGGCCCTGGAGGCCCCCTTCTGGGCCCTGGCCTTATGCTGCTCCCATCGTACTTACGGACCACATCCCAGAGATCATTTCGAGCACCCAGAAAAAGACCGAAACAACGTCGAACGAATATCGCCTCCTGAGGCCCGGCACTTGAAAACCCTCCAGCTTCGGTATTTTCTTGGTGCTCGAAATTAGTTCTGGTAATCAAGGCTAAAGTAGGTTGGAACATCATAACCCTGGCCAATTTTTCTGCAGCCCTCGCTGCCCCCCCCCACCTATCGCCGCACCCCCCCCCACCACGCGGCCTCCAATCGACAGGCCCCCGGGGCGCTGGCGGAGGCAGCGGAATCGAGACCGCCACGGACCACTCGGGGGGGCCTGCCGAGGCCACCTGGGACTATGCGGGGGGGCCTGTTGAGGCCAGCACGGGCTACGGTAGCTGGCGGGCCTGCCTGTGCGCAGCCCACCCGGAGCCTTACGTTTGGCGTTGCAGAGATAGCGTGCCACATCGACATCCGAAAAAAGCGCGCTTTCCCTGTGAGGTGATTTCCCGCGAGGGCCCCTTCAGCGCACGCTATCCCCCCGCGAAGGCCTCGTCGATGCACGCTACAGCAGGGGCTCGACCACAAGTGACCTTCCACAAGAAGCCCGACTCCGAGATTCCAGGACGTCCACTGATGCTTGCTGTGGGAACGTCGCGCTCTCCGTGGCAAAACCAGCGAAACCCGAGAATCCCAGGGCACCCTGGAGGCAAGCAGGATGCGTTTTGGCATGCAAAACAGGGCTAGGATCGGGATAAATCGCTCCAGAGCGTTCCGGAGCGCTCTCAGAGCGTTCTGGAACGCTCTGGAGCGGCCGCGGCGCCCGATACATCCTCCAAACCCGCCGATTCTCAGAGATTCCGAGTTATCCCGATCCGATTTTTGTCCCGATCTTCGCGTCGTTTTGGCATGGGCCCCCGCGCTAGAGGTGCATTGCTGTCCGCTCGCTGCCAGGGGCCTCTTCGGTGCGCGCGCCGTCCCCAAGGTGGGGGCAGCGTCCAGTGGCCGGGCCGGCGGCGCCACACCTCCTCCTCACTCCTCCTCCTCACTCCTCCTCCTCACTCCTCCTCCTCCTCCTCCTCCTCCTCCTCCTCCTCCTCCTCCTCCTCCTCCTCCTCCTCCTCCTCCGTAGCCATTTTGGCTCAAGAGCCGCTTCGGGCTCGCGAGGTTTCTCGCGCGCCTTGCAGGTGCCATTCTTCGGAGCGGCAGCGCGCCTGCGAGCCTTTTCTTTCGCTTCCATCCAACCCCCGCACAGGTTGGATGGCCAGTCCCGCTCATGATGTGCTGCCAGGACCGACCCGCCCCTTCTGGGGCTGCCCGTCCTGCGGCGCGTCCGCCAACTATGCATCGCGCATTCGGTGCCGATGCGGCCGCCCTGCCCCGCAGTCTGTCGCAGACAAGGCGCGCAAGGCGGCCAAGCAGATGGAAGCCGGTGGGCCGTCTCATGCTCCTGGGGCTGCAGGTGGTCGCCGCCGTGCTGGGAGTGCGTGGGCGGCAGGACCGCCAGGCAGTGTGGATGGTGGCATCGCCCGTGAGCTCGCCGAGCTCAAGCGCAAGTACGCCGCCCTCCAGAAGTCCAAGGCTGTGCCCCCTCCCGAGCCTGCGCCTCCGCCCGATCCGCTCGATCTTGAGGTACAACGCTGGGAAGGTATCGTTGCCCAGTTCGCCAAGTCTGGCTTGGGCGCTGACGTCCCCAGCCGTGTCAGTGCCGAGCAATCTCTGGCCGCGGCGCGCAAGGCTCGGAATGATGCCAAGCCACAACTTGCACGCCACACCACGCTCGGGCACAAGCTGCAGGATGCGATCAAGCGCCAGCAGAAGCTCGAGTCCGACGTCAGTGCGCAGGTCAAGGTCGTCGAGGCCGCTGAGGAGCACCTCCGTGAGCTCAGGGCCAAGGTGCTGGCCGCCAAGGACCTGGTGGCTACCCTCCAGGAGGAGCTGCGCGAGTCTTGCCCTAAGGACCTGCGTCCTGAAGGGAGTGATGCTACCTCCTTCGTGCTGCCTGACCTCCCGACCACCGTGCTGGAGGCCGACGCCGACCTCAAGGCCATGGTGGAGTCGCCTGTCTTTGACAAGTTCAAGGAGGCTGTGCGTGCTGCTGCTGCCGCCCAGGCAGCCTCCGCTGGCCCAACCGTCGTGGACGAGGGCACCGACTGTGGTGAATCGGTGCCCGTCCCTGAGGATGATGATGAGTGCATTGACGTCGACGAGGAAGGCATCTCCCAGGTCATCTCCACTACCAAGTTTGCTGGTGACAAACGGGAGCTCCAGGAGTTGTTCAAGTCCCTCGGCCTCGTCACCAAGAAGCCGCGGCGGGGGTGATACTCACCATGGTGCAGTACACCCGAGGGTCTGTGGCCTGCCGTTGTCGTGTATGAGGCTACCACTACCCCCGATTTGTAGGAAGAAGTTGCCGCCGACATCGACGGCGACACAGTTCATCGAGACGTTCAATGGCTCTGGGTGGTCCACGCTACGCGAGCGGCTCACCACGACTACCAGCGTCATCGTGTGCGCCCAGGAGCTTGGCTTGTCCGAGCTCACAGCGCCCCAGTCCCTGGCCGCTGTGCGCGCCCTGGGCTGGCGTTTCCTCATCAGTGAGTCGTCCTTCAACCCGAAGACGCAGAGGTGCTCGGCTGGTGTTGGAGTGTTTGTTCGTGACGGGTTTGGCTTGCGATGGACCGACCCGACGTGCAAGGCTATTGTGCCACATCGTGCCATACAGGTCACCATTGACCTGCCTGGCTTCTCGTTCAACATCGTGTGTGCCTATTTCCACGTCAATGACGGCATGCGTGAGAAGAATTTGTCCATGCTCAGCGCGATCGGCGCCAAGATCATTCAGCCTCCGCTCACGGTCATTGCGGCAGATTGGAACAACTCACCTGCCGCCGTCGAGGCCACGGGGTTTGTGCAGAAGGTCAAGGCCGTCATCATGGCGCCCGCTGCGATCACCTGCCGTACCAGTTCGTCTACGTCCACGATCGACTTCTTCGTTGTAGGGCATGCTCTGTCTACCCTGTCTGCCAGCATCTCTGTGGACAGTGCGTGGCATGTTAGACCGCACC